TTATGGAACAAGTAGTCAACGATGATGCCCCAGTTACAGAAATCTCGATATTGAATCAGAAATGTAGTGATTAAAAGTCAAAAGGTTAGCATAACTTTGTTTGTTTGAACGCTTAAATATTGGTACAAAGGGGCACCGAATACATATGTGCCACAAAAGTCACTTAATTTGTGTATGGGCTGTGATACTCCCCGGATGCCCAAACCGAAGCGAATGGTTTTCTTAGGGGGCCATACCCGGAGCCTTTGATCTAAAGGTCTAATCCACAAGGCAGTAGAGCAACGTAAGGAGATGCAGTTCCAACAGTTGGTTCATATACCATTTGTTCCCTCAGGATCATGGAGCCCATGTGCACCATTGGTTTGGAATCGGGGTTTTACAACTTCCCTAGGTGAACCCTCCATATCCACCAACCTGGTTAAAGCGCCGAACTCTCGCTTTTCGTCCTCTCAACTTCATAAACAACACTCCTGCCGCGAGAAGGCAGTGAGTAGGACTTCCATGGTAGTGCCTGTGAGAGCACTTCGACAAGGAGAGCGTACTCTCTCTACCCTCGGTCGTACCATGGCATTTGTTGGCATAACTACCTACATTTGTAACAAAAAGAGCATTAAATAAATTTTTTTTCATTTTAGCTGGTGGCTTAGTTAGTCGACGAATGAGTAGTACAATACCTGTAGCTAGAAATAGATCATTATCAATGGAAGAATATGATCAACCAAAAGGTGCATCAAATTGTATATTTCATAAAAATCGTAAATATAGTACAACTACTGGGAGATTAATACAAGATGAAAGTCCAATTAATGAACAAGAAGATCAAACTGAAGCTTAATTATTATACTCAAAATTATATAACTATATATAAACGTATATAATTAGATCATTCTACCTTACTATTTCTGAAAATAGATTCTCTTTTTTTAAATAAAAAAAATAAAACATAAATATCATTATACATATACAACACTGATAATCATCTATCTTAATTATACAACTTTCTAAGGGGTTCAACACTACAATTTCAATTCACTCTCTTTTTTCTTTACTAATAACTAGGCTTTTTGTTTCCTACTTGTTTATTTCTATCTGTCTAGTTTTACAAAATCATTCTTCAGTAATAACAATAAACAATTTTGTTTAATGATTTTTGTACTGTTTTCCTATTTCTTTTTCAAAAAAAAAAAAAAGAAATAATAATAATCTGTTTAGTAAACTTATTAGTTAGGAAAAATTTTCTTTTCTCTTCACTTCTTTCTCTACTATTACTACTACTACTACTACCACCATTACTACCACCACCACCACTACTACCACCATTACTACCACTACTACTACTACCACCACCACAACCACTACTACTACTACTACCACCATCACTACTACTACCACTACAACTTCTTATATTGTCAATTGAATTACAATCAACAACAACAAAAAAAAAGAAAAGAACAAGAGACCATCTATCATGAAAATAAATCCTTAGTTGATAATTATTACTATTATTATTATAATCATTTTGTATTGTATTTTTACTGTAGTTTTTTGTAATAATCATCTTATACTTTGCAGCTACTATTTACCGACTATTCAATTCATTATCAACTGCTTTTTCATCCTTTAACTTGTTTCTCTTTTTGAATGATTTCTATGTTTGTTTGTTTTTTAACAATCTAATCTGTTGTTTACGTTAAAATTTGTTTGTAGAATAATTAATAATAATAATAATATGATTATTGTTACTTATTATTCTTGTTAGATATACTATAGACTTTTTTTATTGAATGAGTTGATGAATGTTTACTTATCAACCATAGCCGACAGATTCAGGAGGTGGGTAGATGAGGTTATCATCATGATCCAACCGAGGTCTGGTGATGAAGTCGTACTGTTGACCGTAGAGTGGTGTGATCAAAGTAGAATTTTTCCCTCAGATATCCTGTCATCCCACAATGGAAAGAAGGGGTTAGGAAAGATCGACTCTAAAAACGTTACACCTTACCTTACCATATGGATTCCCGTTTCCAGTGGTAAAGGCATTAAAGTATGCAACACCTCAAAAACTTCCCACAAAAAGGCTGCGTATAACCAATCTCAGACAGCTTTCTCTCTGAGGTCACTACTAATCTAGTTTACATTTCCAAGAATAAATATCCTTCTATGGTATAAAGAACCGGGAAGTGACAAATGCTCTCATACCTATGACAGTGACATCATTGCCGAAAAATACAAACACTAGTAAAAGAAATTAAAATGAAATCTTTAATGAGAACCATACTCTAATATCGAGTACTCATTTACTAAATGAACGAAAAACTGATCGGAAGTTTTGAGTATAACACACTTAGTGACCATTAAGTATAACCACAACATGGAACGTTTGAAAATTATTCGAAAAGAAGAAAGCAACTAGACAGTTTGATTTATTTATTTATTTTAACACATAGATATTGGTACAAGGAGGCACCAAATACATATATGCCACACAAATCTCATTTGATATGTGTGAGGGCTGTGATAATGCACGGGTGCCCAAACCGAAGCAGGTGGTTTTCTTAGGGAGCCACACCCGGAGCCTTCGACCTGAAGGTCTGATCCACAAGGCAGTGGAGCAACGTTATAGCCCAAAGCCACCAATCAGAAGCAGCGAATTATCGATAGGATCAAGGACGCGTAAAACACGTGCGAGCAGCCTAGAGTTCTGATTGGTCCCGCTTTCCGCCTAGACCAGCCAGTTAATTCCAGAAAACCAGTCCCAGCCTTTATTAAAAACATACTCTGTTTATATGCCAATCAAGCAGACCACATCGTATCAATAAATATTAAACAACATTTGTACAAGATTTGGCCAAATGTCGCTGTGAATGTGGGAGGTAGTGATTAATAGACGGAATAATAATTCAAGAATGGAAAATCGTATAATAACAGTTCATAGGTTAAAATAAAGCTTATGATAAGAGAGACATGAATATGAATAGTTTAGTTAATTAACAATTATACGACAAAAATATACGCACAGTATTGGTCCATAAATAGATCCCAAAAGATTACCACTCATTATTGTTATCGGGACGCAACAGAGATGCAGTCCCATGGTAGCCGGTGACCAACGATTGGTTCACATGCCATTTGTTCCTTTAGGATACTGAGGCCCATGTGCACCATTGGTTTGGAATCAGGGTTTTCCGACTCGCCTAGGTGAAGTCTCCATGTCCACCCACCCGGTTAAAGCCCCGGACATTCGCTTTTCGGCCTCCCAATTTCGTAAACATCCCCGGCAACGAGAACGCAGTGAGTAGGACTTCCCTGGCAGAGGATATATACGCGTGGCCATGTGAGAGGATTTCGAGAGGGAGAGCGGACTCTCCCTACTCTCGGCCGTACCAGGGCATTTAAGGGCCTAGGCTACCGGAGCCAATTAGACAATAAACAAATATTAGGATTTGAATGGACAAAGAAAATATAACATTTACTGGTGTATAACGAGTAAGATTAAGAGCAAACTAACAATTTTTTACTAGGTCATACCACTGACAACAAGACATCAAATACTAACTAATAAAAGTTTAATTATTTGCATAAGACATAAATTGTATTTTTCTTTTCATTAACATATGCAAAATACATATAATAAACTGTAATTAATAGCAAATTCGAGTTGATGAAAAATGTTTTACACATCTTTCTTCACAGTAAAAAGTTAAGAAATGAAATGATATCATAATATATACCTGATCTGTAAATGAGTCTACTTCAGTGACTCAATATAACAAATCTCAACCTTACATATCAACATAGGGCACACGATATTGAGTTTGTTAGACTAATCACCACATAACAACCTGGTCAATTGAATCCGATCAGCAATAAGGACTTCATCGATCACTACTCAATAATCAACCAATTGCAAATATATCTGAGTCCTTCGAAAGGTCAGTTCAAACAGTTCAGCTGGGTGGTATCGGTTCAGATTTGATGGGGAACATTCGTTGCCTCAAGATTGCAGGTAAACTTTGTTGACCATTACTAAATAACCCGAGACCTAGTCTCATTGTTTCCTATCGGCCTTCTCCAACCACAACCTTACAACTTAATATAACGAGTTGGTCCCGAGAAACATCACTAGCGCGATTATGTATGTAGAAAGGTTTGTAGGCAAAAATCCACCTCATTATTTATCATTCACTAAAAATAGTGTACTTAGCAAGATTCAGATTTAAGCCATATACAGTTCAATATAGATTATTTGTACACTTTGAAGCTATTGATTTATTTTTTTAGATGCATGTAAAGTGAACTCAATAAAATCTGACTGTTTGTGTACAGATTACATTTATAGTCATGTATCAATATAATTCTGAGAAATTCACAGCTTACATCGTCGCATTCAGCGATTGCTATTACATCATTAATATATGAATTTTTTATATACTCTCAAACCGACGTCGTAGAGTTACTTTGCCCACTATTAAGCGTCATTCGGTCAGAAAGTCAGTTGATGTGTACAATTGAATGCACTAAAAACAATTTAAGTATATATATACATTTGCTGTAGATTCATACTACCATCCCCATCCTTCATTTATCCAATTTTACTCATCATCTATCCGCTTAAATAGTGACTCCCTGGAAAAAATTCTTCTAGCACATATCATATGTATCTTTTATTACCACCGTTGTACAATATACTGTTTTGCCTAAGTATCACATCGGAGAATTTAGATACTTTGTCATCAACCCGTTATACTGAAACATACAATTGGTAAACAGATATATCTATTTAACATTGTTGTCTAACTAAATAATATCAAAGACTTTGAAAGTTAACGAAATTATGCAATATTCGCATAAGACAAAAATTAGAATCCTGCATGAGGAATCGTGGATGCGCACTACTGAGAAGTTCCATACTAGGACGAAACAGTCGTCCAGTACTTCCAGGTTTTCAATGTTGGTCGAACATTGATCGGTCCATAATTTCAATGAAATAAGAAAAAGGTTTAGACAATAAAAAACAATTGATTTATTCATTAAGATACATAGAATAAAATATCACTTCATTTAACAATTATTACATCATGGAAATATACATGTTATGTGAAGAAATAAGTTAGTTTAATTTCGGTAAACTGCTGCGATTATTTACATACTTCTTTTTAATAGTACTGGTGGTAGTAGAGAGATTTTTCATATTTGATCCACGAACTAATGAACGCAAGAATGGTACAAAAGAAAAATAACCCATTTGATCCGCTCCTTTAATTGGTCGAGGACCAATTATTTTACGCCGCCTCAAATATAAATGTCTCATATTATAGTATAAACCTGTGGAGAAAATAGAAATTAATAAAATACTGTATAAATAAAAAAGAATATAATTTATCTGTTCAATTAGAAATTTGTGTATTTTGGGCATCGGGATTGGGGAAACAAATTAGGTAGGTGAAAAGTAGTAAGATAGTATTCTGTTGACAGAGGTAATTTACGGGAATGAAAGTATGACAAGCGAACATCTGATGCTGAAACCGGGTCGGTGTGTACGAAGCATCTAGCTAGGGGTGTTGGAAAACTCCGATCTCAAAACAATGGTATACATGAGAGTGGCTCCGAGATAATGAGGGAAAGAATAGATGTATGAAATAGTTTTATCGTATGCTACTATTGGACTGCAACTCTTGAAGTTTGAATCCTAGAGGGAGCATCTCTTTCCTCAATATGGAAGGTATACCCTAATAATGACGAGTGTACTAGCACAAAACGTAGGTCAAGGAGGATATCATGCCGGGTGCCTTTTAATAACTAACATTGTACAATTCGCCTGAGTAATTATCATTTCATAAATATCGTTGATTGTTAACATGTTTAATAAATATAAGCTCGAAAATTCACTTACCAAAAGACATAGAAAATATATAGATTTGCAGAAAAGTTGTAAAATCAAAGCTAACATTAGCTGGATTCGGTAGTTCTAAACAGAATTTTCGAGACTCAATCAATGAAGGCAGTGATCGAATTATTAATTTACCTGATAATTAGTAAAAAGGACAGAATACATATTATTTTCTCACAATAAATAATGATGGAAATATAGAGACCAAGAAAAAAACATCCCCTGTTGAATTGCTGATTACTAAATCTCAATCTAAGTGTTGATATTAGTAATAATAAGTCAGTTAGGAATTTTGAACAGTAGGATTGTGGTTAACAGTAAAGTCCACAAAGCAGAGTTTCATTCTATTTAGGACTCACTAGCTGAACAGGAGTACCCATGAGACTATAACTTATGGAGATCTTTGAGAGACGCTAAAGTGACCTTGAGAATGTCCACCTACTAACTAGGACTAAAGGATGGTTATAAACCAGTATGAGGAATTAGAATTATGATTTATAGTTGATGATTTGTGTTGGGAATTAGATTTAGAATTTTCATCACGAACTGACATCAGCTAAAATACCAAAATGTTAGGTAGCCAAATGGATGAATAAATTTCACGCCGAAATTCAAGACCTATTATCTTATATCTGGTTGGTTCGTCCATAAATTATAGTTTCGCCAAAGCATTATTAATAAAACATGTACAAGAATTTCTAAAGCCACATTCACACTACTAACTCCTTCATAAGCCCTCAAGAGGATGATGAAAAGAAAAGAGAATAGTCAATATCCTTCACAACGTTATGTGTTATATTCCATGAAGAGAGTTTAATATTCACATTTAGACACAAAATCTAATGACATACTCAACTTTAGATGAGAATTTTGAAGAATACGAAATTGTACTTATAACTGAATGATAAAATTACGTCTGTCTACTAGTTACATAATCAAATTTATTTATTTATTTTAACACATAGATATGTACATAATCAAAATCAATGTAAAACGTGGTATATATCGTGTATAGAGCCATATCGCCACATTAAACATTATGATGTTCGAATGGTAAAAGGCATAAACTCCATAAATAGTTTTATAGTATAAATACTTACTATAAAGTAAAAAAATAGAAGAATAAATACCATTTTGAGATAGTGGAGATTTGTAGTGCAGGTGGGTGATTTTGATGGATTTTTATTCTCTGAGATGGATGGTTTGGTCGTGGAGTTTATCATCGTTCTTTTGAATGACATCATCAGCACAAACTTCAGGTAGAAATAGACTTTACACTAGAAGTAGACTTCTATCTGAAGTTTTTTGCTGATGATGTCATTCAAAAGAACGATGATAAACTCCACGACCAAACCATTCAGCTCAGAGAACAAAACTCCATTAAAAAATAAATAAACAAAAATACAATTCACTAAAAAAAACAAAAACATTAGAAAGACAACCTATCGGTATTATTTATTAATTCTTATTTACCTTCACATATAAATCCAATAGGATATAATATTATCCACAATGTATGACGTAAATAAGTGATAAGTCCATTTTGAAAACTTAATAATGATAAAATGTAATATGGATATCTGTAATATGAGAGAAAATATAAATGAGTAAATGGGATAGACATAAAAACAGATGAATATTAGAAAAACAACAAACATATTAGGTATACCGATTATAATTTTATTTTTAAAGAAAAAACTTTTTCAGCTTAAACTCACAATTAAAATATAACATGGTGTTTAGTATATTTTACATTCATTAATAGTTTGTAATGTCTAGTACTATATATTAAGTTCATATGGATTATTCTAGCTACCAAACAGATCGATTTATTTATTCTTGTACAGTACTCGCTTCGTCGGTACATATAATAAAATTGGAACGATACAGAGATTAGCATGGCCCCTGCACAAGGATGACAGGCAAAATCGTGAAGCGTTCCATATTTTTACCCTCAAATGCCCTGGTATGGCCGAGAGTGGAGAGTCCGCTCTCCCTCTCGAAATGCTCTCACATGGCCACACGTACACAGTTTCTACCAGGGAAGTCCTACACACTGCCTTCTCGTAGCGGGGGTGTTGTTTACGAAATTGAGAGGACGAAAAGCGAATGTCCGGCGCTTTAACCGGATTCCAAACTAATGGTGCACATGGACTCCAGTATCCAGAAGGAACAAATGGTGTATGAAACAATTGTTGGTCACCGGCTTCCATGGGACTGCATCTCCTCACGATACTCCACTGCCTTGTAGATCAGACCTTCAGGTCGAAGGCTCGTGGAGTGGCCCCCTAAGAAAACCACCTGCTTCGGTCTGGGCACCCGGTAGTATCACAGCCCTCGCACAAATCAAATGAGATTTGTGTGGTGCATATCTATTTGGTGCCTCCTTGTACCAATATCTATTTATTCTTGAGTTACATTTTAACCTTGTTGATTACTTGCTTATTAACCTTGACTGTGTTTAGCTTATTTTTGTCTGATAAATAAATATTGAGTCATGCTTGATCAAAACGAGTTGGCTTACTCACCTTCTCCGATCCACTTCTTATTCTGAATATTTTTCTGGATAAACGAGTGCCTAAAATAAATTCATCTAACGCAACCTGTATTTAAATTCTTAATTACCGCTTTCATACAAACAGGGTTAACCTAAGTAATATACGGAGTTAAATGGAAATTTTGTTTTTTTTTGCATATTCATACATTCATTTAAATAGGAGTCAGATCAACAGCATAACAAAAGTGGTGAAATGTATCATGTTTACTAACGTGTACAGGTTTCTACGGTTTTCAATTATACTTGATATTTACGTAGAATGTAGGCAATGATGTACTAATCAGTTGTCAAAGACGAATTACGTGAAATAGAGTTCATATGTGAGAAATAATAATTGAAAATCAGGTGCCTTAATCACATAAACTAATAATGTCACCATCTCTCTTGTTAATATCGAATTTCGTTTTTGTTTTTTAATTCATTCACTGGACAGGTAAATCGTAATACGGTTCAATGATCAATTACATATCCATACATTAGACTGGAACGTAAATTAGCTTAGAATGAGTTAATATATACATTACTACTCTATTTCTGATAGGCTTACATTAAAACCTTTTCAGTGTCAAAGCTATCAACCATTAGCTTGAGACATGAATAGCACATAAAAACACCCTTTTTGGAATCTCATAAAGTTTGTATTATTGGAAATTCTGTAATAAAAGCTAAATCTCTTGGTGTAAATTTTTACTTGGACTTCTATTAGTATTTTCATGTTTTATTAATATTGAAGAAAGTTTGTTGTCTGACTCATTATATAGAGAGGTTACATTTTTACGCCATTACTTATCACCAATAATCTATAAGAAAGCTATTCTTAAATACCGAATCTAGAGGAGGTAGAGGATTATTTGACATATACTTTGTGTGGTTTGTAAATGCTTTTTTCAATATTGTATATTATTATTTACTGTTCTCTATTATCCTTCCCTGAGGTTTTGAGAAAGGTATGTATGGTGAATCTTTTTATTCTATCATGAATATGATTGCGGATAGACAGTTGAAATCTTCCAAAATAATGGGAAGCTTTTTTTTCAAAAACTAACCATCTACTTCAATGACATCTTCTGGTAGGAAGAGATGCTAATACATTAGAATCTATGCACGCAAACAAAAGTGCAAAAGTTCTATAATACCGTATCTTGTACATTTACTATACGACGAATAGGTTGTAAGACTTGAACCAATCAAAACTTATTTTCATGAATGCGTTAGTAATTCAAAGTTGTATAGATTCTTTGTCTCTTTAAAGTATTTAATTTAATTCTAGTTGGGTTATTTACTTCATTCATGTACATATGCATGCACTTATCTATTATTTCATTGTTTTTGTGATATAAACGAATAAATATTGTATGAGCTGAAAATCCCATATTGTATTAGACATATAGTATTGAACAAAGTTATCATAGAACAATAAAAACAAGGTTATACAAAACAATTAAGCTTTAAAAGACTCTGACAACCAAAAGGACAGATTTATTGTTTTTAAGGAAAAAAAGGCTTTTAACTGAATTACTTTGAGGTTTTTAAGAAAGACATGATTAAGGTCATAGGTCGATATCGACGGACAGTCGCTTTTATCGAGACCTAAATAATAAAAAAATCAAAATAACGCTCCATTCACAGTGTGTACCCGTAGGATTATGCATGTCTCGACACCTTTTCCTGTAACTTTATACTCTGCAATTTACGGAGGTGTACCTATCGGGAGTTTGGAAAGTTTCGTCTCGCTGGTTTAAAATAATTGTGGTGGGCATTTATGTCTTGATTCATAAGTGTTAAGGCAAGTGTGACTTAGTGACAAGTCTGTATTAGGGTGAAACAGCTGCTCTATCTTCCTTGGTTCTCGATAGCACCTCAACTAGTGTCATGACGAATGCCATCTACGAAAACCGTTACACATATCAAAAGAGACTCGCTAACATAACAGCTAATAAGAGATGGAAAATGCTCTACGATGTAAAAGCACCTCACAAGGTCGTACCTCTCATGAAAACTAAAAATACAATATTAACGATGGAATGATGAGATGTTCGGTTTAAAGTGGGCGCAGATCACTTACCTAACAACTTCAATGAGACTCCATGAAAAGAAAAGCCAATAAGTTGTAGACGCAGAATGGAATTCAGCATGTGGCAATACAATACAAAACAAAACAAGGGAACGACCAAACAACTATGGGCAGAATACAAAAAAATTTGTAAATAAAAATTTTTGGTTTTAATTTTAAAAACCATTAGAAACCTGAGTAAACGTACAAAGAACCAAATATTGTAACAGAGATTATTCTTGAAAAACTGGTTATTACATTTCATGAGGACAATCAAAAGGAGTCCATTGGAGTTTAGATTAACCTATTCAACTGCGACTTTGGGTGATATTTATTTAGGTGATTATTTAGTGATCGATCAATTTTATATAAGAGGTAAACAATTAAACCACAGAAGAGAATATTAGTCAAGTAGACAAAAATGATTATTACTAAAGCAAGGATTAATCCCACTACTATTACGACGTATGCTATTTATGTCGATATAAGTAGTATATAACACCAGTCGAGGGTGGAATGTCTGACAGCAGAAGGTTTGGAAGATAGAATTGAGGAGAACAGGAACAGAGAGTAATTGTTGCAGGAATTATGTCTCTGAATTGGTTACTACTCAGCACATGATAGTGGACCGTGGATGAACACTGCTGAGGAGTCCTATGATAGAATGAAACGGCTGTCCAGTCCTTCCTGGTATTTTTCTGGTCGTCTAAATAAGGCTAATTTGTGATGTAAACTATAAAACTCAAAAATAACCACAAACCCCTTACATTAAAAGGTATTTTGAACTGCTCCTAGTCAAGTTGAAATACAGTAAGAATTCGATCATTTTAGCTGTTGAAACTACAGTTTACATGAGAGAAACCACATAACGGCAGAAGAAAAACCTATACCCACTTCAAACAGTCACACCTACCTGAAAAACTGAAGGTAAGACACTTCCACCACGAATCCAACCTAATAAAGCATGCAACGGTTCCAAAATTGATAAAATTTGCACAAAAACTAATCTATCGATAATCCATTCATAAAATGGTATTTTATGAACTTCTTTATACTGCATTAATCCATAGACCAGAGCTCCACAAACATAAAGATAACCGGCGAATTGAACGACATTAAAGAGGAATAAATAAATTGTCAAAGGATTTTTAATTACTGAAAAAGGATGAAAAATAGCATGTCATGAAACTAGTAATAATACATGGAATTTAAAGAACTCAAATAAGTAAAACTAATTGGTAGGCTCAAGCAATCAGATATCAGTTTAGGGTCAAAAGATAGGTGCTGATGGGTGCATGCTATTGGTCGAGGTTTAGCTTGATTAACCGAGAGACATCAATATCTGTGAATGAGTTTGCGGACACATTTGATTCAGCTATTCAATAAACTTTCCTATTTAACCCTTGTTTTCTCACTCATGTTGTGCTCACACATAGTGTGTTTGCCAGTATCAGTATCAGATAACCGCCCGACACAACATATCTTTACGATTTTGAATAACCAAGTTACAGTTTAAAATCAATTGAATGCTTTATCATTAAACATCGTAGTAAATTATATCTACTATGACAGTAAGGTTTTTAACTTTCAGTACATAACCAAAACAGGGACTTGAACAAGATGGAGAGATATGGGGTAGGTAAGAATCCCGACAACATCCATGGAACAGAGGTTTAATGTCCAAAACATCAGACTACAGACTGATCAATTCCAGATTCGAACCCCGATTCACCTATTTTGGTTTAATCATTAATAGTTTAATTCGCTGATATTGGTGTACGAGTAAGTTGGAAAAAGGCTAAGGGTGACCAAGTCAAAACGCGGCATCACTTTATTAATCTATCGGTTATCCGACTGAGCCGTATTGGTAGATGCAGACTTGGTTGGAGCCTGTGTGATTATTGTAACGATGCCCCCGAATTTCCTGGTATAGCCGAGGGTGGGGAAAGTAAGCTCTTCCTCTCGAAATGCTCTCACATGGCCACGCGTATACAGCCACTGACAGGGAAGTCCAGCTCACTGCATTCTCATAGCGGCAGTGTGGTTTACGAAATTCAGAGAACAAAAAGTGAATGTCCGGAGCCTTAACTGCGTTGGTGGACATGGAGAGTCCACCTAGGGGAGTTGGAAAACCCTCACTCCAAACCAATGGTGCACGTGGGCTCCAGTATCCTAAACGAACAAATGGCATGTGAACAAATCGTTGGTCACTGGCTACCATAGGACTGCATCTCCCAAAGTTGCTCTACTGCCTTATGAACCAGACCTTTAGGTTGAAGGCTCCGGGTGCAACACCCTAAGGAAACCCCTGCTTCGGTTTTGGCACCCGGGCAGTATCACAGCCCTCACACATATTAATGATAACTGCTACTTGTCTCATTGTTATTGTGTGGCGAATATATATTTGATGCCTCCTTGTACCAATGTCTATGTGTTTTAAATGGTGGAGAAGATTTGTAGCTCAGGTGGATGATTTTGGTGGAGTTTTGTTCTCTGAGCTGGATGGTTTGGTCGTGGAGCTTTCATCGTTCTTCTGAACGACATCATCAGCACAAACTTCAAACTTCTATTTGAAGTTTGTGCTGATGATGTCGTTCAGAAGAACGATGAAAGCTCCACGACCAAACCATCCAGCTCAGAGAACAAAACTCCACCAAAATGTGTTTTAAATAAATAAATAAAATGTTGTAACCGATAACTGAAAACGTCGAGCGACATGAATTAGCATTGGCTCAAATGGCCTAGATGTATTTGTTTGTTTCATTGCCTTAGATCTTGAGTTCTGAATTTATCTTATAATTTTATTTCGTGAACCCGCATATATTTCTTTACCAAAATGGATATCACCAGTAAATAATATAGAGGTTTGAATAGACAATTCTAGATAAATAGAGCACTGGGTAGAATGTAAATAATAACAATATAATGATGTATTTGTGATATCCAGTGAGTGGAATTTTGAATCTTGAAAGCTTTTTGACTTAGTGTAAGCCACTTCTTTATAACAAAATAACAACCGAACTAAATATTCAGCATTTTTTCATTTATACAATTTCAATATGTTAATTTAATCCATTTATTTACTATTAGGAACTGGCCTACACTACATCACAAAACGTCAGGAATTAAAATCTATATCCATTGGTCCATCATAAGTATATTATTATTTTATATTGCCAGCTTTATGAAAGATTATGACTAGTTTCAGTAGCCTAGCCCAAAATATCAAGTACAACTTACGATTCAAAAATGCCTCCCATTCTTCTGCATCAATAAGCATCATTTGTTCTGCATTATGCTTATCCTAAAACCCAAACACATCATAAAAAAGGGAGATTAACTGCTACATTAAAGAAATAGTGATAAAACTCGATAACAGTGAACCAATTCGATTGAATAAAACATACGATTTGTCTGTTCTATTGGGAATAGACTTACGTTCAAACATACCTGAAACCTTTGCATGCTACTTGATTTTGATGTTTGCAAAATAGACGGTGTTTTAATTCACTACAAAACATAATTTACATGTGTAGCAACTGATTTTTCAGACCGTTTTAATTACTAGGTCAAACTAGATACAGATCAAAACTAATCGTAACACCTTGTTTTGTAATGACTAAGATAATTTCCCCATTAAGTGAACAGATCATGATCTCCGAGCTATATGGTTTAACTTTAAATTTTTTGTTGCCGTTCTGGACATCAACAAAAACACTGTATTTCGTATCAGTATACAAAAATTTTGTTAAAATGTCTGAGTATTTCGATTATGATATTTAAATTAATGTGTATTTCACCAACATTAAAGCCTAATGGATTAGTTAGACAAATAACAGTTCTGGTCTAGTGCTCTACATTGATTCAAGTTTTCATAATTCTTCTGATCGAAATTCCATCAATCTGATTGATCTATTATGATGAGAAAACCACTAAGCAAAAGAAATGTACTCATAAAAACAATCCTTGATAAAGATTATTTCTATTCATTTATTTTGCTAAGTGATTTTTGTGAATAGATATAAACAATGGATAAATAATAAACTTACTCTCTCCTCTTTTGATGGATGTACAACGTTTACATTGAGACATTCTTCTTCATTATTTTCCAAATCAGAGTCATTAAACTGATAACGATCGAAATCAGGACGAACCCAAGGTAGACGCTGATTTCCTAATGTTAACCTTGACCATGAATCTTTAAGTTCTTTTCGTAATTTAACATTAACAGATAAACTTGTAACGACATATCGACTTTCCTAAAAAGTTAATACACAGGTTATAATATTAGTGAGATAAACGTTTTTAAATAAGTAAATTATGTTAATCAAACATAAGGTGATATTTCAGTGATAAGAATACTCATGTTACATAGAGCTTATACTCACTTAAAAATATGATACTCGTTTATAATGTATTAAAGGTATAAAAAAGGGAACGAGCTATATAATTAGTGAAACATTAAGGAGCAGTAGTAAAGCTGTGAGTTATCATATTTCAATCCTAGAGATTACAATTTAATAATTCATGTCTAACACTACAGCCACCAACTATACTTAAATAGTCTATGACAAATTGATGTAGATTAGTTTTACTTATCTTAAACTTGTGAGTTGGTGAATTACGGGATAGAATTCGCATGGTGTTTGGGATGCATGATATTCATACACATCCACTATCATTTTCGATTTGAAATATCGAATTAAACTTGTTAGACAAGCAAGTAATCGGTCATTGATTTAAACCATATGAGAAAGTCTGAGATTTATTGACAAATTATAAAATGATACGTGTTGATTAAGATCACTTAGAAATGGCTCAAAATGAGTTCTGTAGTAATTATATTACCCAACAGATTAGCGTAAAACCGAACAGCCTATTACGTATGGCAAAAACACAATTCACTTCTTTTCATTTGTTTTGGTATTTCTTCTTTTTTATCATTACTGGCAACTTTTCCTTTTCGTTTCGTTGAGATATTTATTTGTTGAAGGCTTTTAACTTATAATCACCTCTGAATTTTCTTTCTATGATGTAGATGATCAAGTTGCAAACCATTTTATCATACAAAAAGGAACGGTCTAATCACAGAAGCAAGTGTTTCTTTCAGGATAATCAAGCTGAAATTAAATAAGCAGGTTTAATTATTGTAACGATGAAGCAGCTTGATAGAAATTTAGCGGTGATAAATAAGAAGAGAATAAAATCAAGTAGAATACATCTTAAACATAAGAACTTACTTCAGGGATTATAGGGAGATAATATGAGATAGAAAATTCATATTTATTAACACCATCAGCTCCAGTGCCCATTGCAGAAAACATAAAGTCTTCTTGGTTGATAACAATAGAATCAACCTAAGCATCTACTGATTGAAGATCAAGGTGAACATACATTTGCATTGGCTACTTTAATAGAAAGAAATACATATTCTTCCGACTGACCCCAATAAACAATTGGATGAATACATTTGGTGGAATTGATCATCTACAAGTAACAAAATTGCTAAGATGAAAAAATTCATTAAAAAAAAAGAATAATCTTAGCAGAAGATAAAGTACTAATCGAATACACAAGCTCTTGTGACCCACAAACACAAATAAATAATAATGCAGAACACTACAGAATAATTGATCAGTTTTAGCTGTAATACCTCCTAACAGTATTCCAAAGCAATTCTAGATGCAAACCATTTAAGAGCACACTTTAACTTCAAAGATTTTGTCTTACAGGTGAAGTGGCTTACTTGTGTAGCTCTATGTTTTTTTCTATGAGAATCAGCGTCAACACTTATATAAGCAGAACGGAAAAAGAGATCAATCAATTCGCTTTCTACATTTATGTTACGAATGGGCAGGATCAAATACCATACTTAATAAGTGCAGAAAGCATGGAAAAACTTATTATATTTGCTTGTTTAATATCTAAACAGGTATCTGAAAACGTTAAAGATCGAATTATTTCCGAGAAAGTGAATAATATTTATGTTGGTGATAAAAACTAATCCATAAAAAACACCCATACTGAAATAGAATTAAGCTGGACGTAGAATACCCTTGGCTAACAACACAATAAGATCCATAAGCAAGTTTCCCTTGAAAATCATGATTGATTACTAAGTGAATAGCAATAGTAACTTTAACACTATTCCCTTGAACTTCGCAATTTAATGGTTTAAAGACAAGAAAGAATATACAGCACTGAACTCAATAGTGAATTGACAAATTTTTATTTCAGCATTAAAAAAGTTTATTATCGAGACGAAATAGTCATTGTAGCTTAGATTTCCTAAATAACAACATTCGCAACTGCATCCTTGGCTAAAAACAACACATGTACACCTGGGACTTATTAACACGCAAACTTTTCACTAGCCAGAACCAAAGATAATAATCACTAACATAAGTAAGATATCAGGCCAGTACTACCACAGAAGCTAGAGGCGATCACCTAAAATCAGTAGTGTCAACGCAGATATATTTACTTTTCTTCTGAACCATGAACGTATCATTCTTTTCATCTTCATCACTGGTTTTTTTTACTTTCTGTTGGGTTATTCCTGGATTTAGAATTATCATTTGTAAATCCACTTTCTCTTTTTACCTCAAGATCTTTACCTATCATTCTCGCATCAGGTGTGGTGAGTTGGACTGCCACGCAACTTTTTTTGCAACTATCATACAAATCATACATTGAATATCAGTACTTTCCTTAAACACACCATCCAGTCCATGTTAACTTGTAGTGAGACTTACCACATTCCACATTTTCCTGCAAACAACAAAAACATCAACTTAAAAACGGATTTTCCGACAAGCCTGTGATTTGAGTGCTTAGCACACCCCATCTAGTTTCAAAATGATCTTCACCGTTAGGGAGTTAATATTAAATACCTAAAACGTCTGACCGGAAGTTATATACAGTCTAAGCTTTCTAGCTTGGAAATCAATTAGTTATCTTTTCACCAGCCACAAAACCCATAACTGATAAAAAAGGTTGATTCTCTCGCTTTGTTATTTGCTAAGAATCACTGCAACATAAAATCATTTTGAAATCTGGTATATCCAATTTGAGGTGCCTCGGATTTATGAAAGCATTAAATAGTTCTCATGGGCCTAGGTTTACATATTTCTGAGGTTCAGTGACTAGAACATGAAGTTACTTATTTGTTCCTCTGATATTGTTTAGGGCTGTGGTCCACCAGGGTGCTTGGTACCTGTGTAGTTGCGCCACAGGATTGAGCTGTACTACTCAGATTGTAGCGTTAAAGCCTGTATGGTGTCTGGTTCCCCTGCCAAACTGGGTTGAGCTTTACTGTTTTGGTTTTTACGTGAAAGTTCGGATGGTGTTTGGTTCTCCTGAAAACCAATGTAAATTTACCCTGGCCCACAAGGGCATATTATATAATTGTGAGGCCTCCAAATGCCCTGGTATGGCCGAGGGTGGGGTGGGCCCGCCCTCCCTCTCGAAATGCTCTCACACTGCCACGCGTATACAGCCTCTGCCAGAGAAGTCCTACTCACTGCCTTCTAGTGGCGGGGGTGTTGTTTACTAAAATGAGAGGACGAAAAGCGAATGTCTGGCGCTTTAACCGGACCCAAAAATAATGGTGCACATGGGCTCCAGTATCCTGCGGGAACAAATGGTGTATGAACAATCGTTGGTCACCGGCTACCATGGGAATGCATCTCCCCACGATGCTCCACTGCTTTGTGGGTTGGACCTTTAGGTCAAAGGCTCGGGGTGTGGCCCCCTAAGAAAACCACCTGCTTCGATCTGGGCACCCGGGCAGTATCACAGTCTTCACACAACTCGAATTATTTATGTGGCGCATATCTGCTTGGTGCCTCCTTGCACCAATGTTTATGTTTTTAAATAATAATAATAATAGGGCTGTATTAAGTTGATTGTCATGGATAACAAAAGACATCACCAAAGAAAGTGGTTACAAAGCTTACCATGGAATATCTAGGTAAATATAGGCCAAGACCATGGATGACGCAAGTGATAAATACTAAGTTATCAAGACATTTTACTACACAAGTGTGGGCAAAAAATCAACTTACTATTTCGCCCTGAAAGCATCTGCAAACCCTACAGGGACTAATTGACCCACCAGATATGTCGAATAAAGACAGCTGATACAAAAAGCAAGTCTAAATACACCCTAACCTCCGTCTGCGTGATGACCCCAAGCAGGCAAACGCATTATTGGTTATAACTTCTGAACAAAGAAATTTTTTTACAGTGTATATTAGGATAAAATTTAACACATGAACAGTCTGTAAATGAGAAAACACCAAACAGACACCAGGTCTGTTTATGTTCGCTGGTTCACGACCCTTCTAGAAATTTTGGCGACAAACCTACGCATTTTCTGTGGATAAGCCATAGATACACTCTAGTAATGATTTCCTTTTGTGCATTACTTGATGGGAAACCATGTCAGCGGACAGACTCATCTGCCAGGACATATCACCTTTCAATATCATATCACATATTATTTCTATGAATACCATGCAAAATATTCCACAATCATATCCGTTATTTTGCTTTATGACATTAGGTAGCTTTATATCTACAAAAGAAACACCTGAATAAGTGCATAACTTGTTACACAAAGTGATCGCCTCTGAAAAATTAGGACTAGAGTTTAAGGAGTCCAGGTAAAAACCGTGTACAAGAAGTGGTGAATAAACCAGCAGTGACCAATGACATCCACCAGATGAAACTCGTGAAGCAGAATCATTGATCACTAAAAATACCCAATCCTTTGACTTGAACTCTAGAGGATCCAACACCAATCTAACTGATTCCTCATCCATCAATTTCAAAAGCTGAGATGCTGCTGGATCCATAAGAAGAATATTCGACGAGTGGCATAATTTTGTATGGCGAAGATACTCCAGATGGAATGTGATTATGTTATCATTGACGAAACAACCCTCCTTCAAAGTATCTAGATCATCTCTATGTAGAAGGGATTCGTAATAATTTAGAATAACATCAGAAGACATAACACACTCCTCTCGAGTTACGTAATTAGATCACAAAGTAATGGATAATGACTACTATAACGCAAGTACTGAAAGTGGATGACCTTCATTTGCTTGTCCAATACATCAGTAGTGAGGATATGAAGTCTATCAACCTATTAATCCGTGCAGTTTGTAGCACTTCACAAACTTAGATCATGTGTTACCATTTTGTAAAGTTTTGACGTTCCTACCTTAGCCAATAATGACGAATCAGTCGCAGCTTGTGTAAAAGCGTATGAGGCAAATGTCCTCATGCACACAGGATCATGGACAATCAAAATTGAAGTCTATGTGAGAATCGACTAAACGGTCTTAAGGGATTTATCCAGATAAGTTACCAACTCAGAGTACTATGGAGAGGACCTCGTAAATATTCAACTTCCTTCGGACTAAAACTTAGACCCTCTTCTCTTCAAAACAAAATGCTTTTAGAGTAAATTAGACCACTAGGTACTAACCAAGTCAGCCTCTATAACGTTAAATCACAAACGTAACCCCTTAACCCTGGAAAGGCTCAGGATGGAGTATAAAACAAAGCTTGTGAAAAGCTCTATTGCTATGTTCGAGAGATAAAGATATCACTTAGGACCCGCGAGCAGCACGAAAGTCAGCAACTCAACAACAGGACAAACCTAGCTATTCCTCTGTTAACTAGAGGAAGAAGGTCAGATACAGCCAAATATATATAGTTCCATAAGTATACTGAAAGACCGAACAACAAGTACATAACTCAAGCATTTATATGCGACGAAATATCCTTGAAAAATGTCACAAGATAACGTTCTGGAAGCAAGAACTAACCAATGACGTTTAACACACTTCCAGATGGAAAACACAAACTGAAGGTAAAACATGAAATCTTGGCGAGAAAACTGGTAGTTCGGATTTCCACAGTTAAATCACAAAAAGAATAAGTTTGGCACCACTCCTTTTTAATAGTTTAGTTGATGGGTGTTTACTTACATCTTGACTGTTTGTAGTTATTGTCGATGTGACCACCTCCTGGGACGTTGATCGATTTGTTTATGAACATCTATCTTTGCGACCGTCTTAGTTTGAAGGTGTCTATCAGAACGTCGGGCGATAGATCTATGTTTATCAATGGGAGATCCGTGGCTAACCATTCGCGTTTATGGCCCTCGTACTGAGTCCACCTGTCTCTTCTCACCTCCACTTCATACATGACAAGTATCAGCATTCTGACCACACGTACGTCTGCCCAAAGATCATGGTTTGGTCTGTATTCCGAAACGAACACCGGTCATCCAACCTCGTACGTCGGTAGCTCCTGAGGCTTAGTCTATAGTGGTGTCGTTCTTGGCAGCATCAGGCTGTGGGCCATTCTCAGCCCAGTACGGAACTACTACAAAATATTAGATTACAGGGATTCTGGCACAATCAATGTCTCTCCAACTATCAGGCATCCTTCTACGACGTGTTACAAGTTCCAACGATGGTAAAGTTGCTCCATGTCACAACGAATGGCAGTAGTCCATCAAAATCCTGCATGGTCTTCTGTTGAAAGAGAGACGCTAACCATGTCTTTCTCTATCATGGAGTGTTCACTGATAAGTCGTGACAAAGCCTCTGCCTGACCATGGGGGCGACTTAAAGAATGGCTCTGAATACCAGAGTTCAAGCAAACAAATTTCAGGAGACGGTTATGGCCTGTTAGCAGAGCAAATGTTAAACCATATAAAAACTTGTGGGAACGAGACACAGCAAAGACAAGGGCTAATGCCTCCTTCTCTATCTGACTGTAATTTTCTGCCGGAGTTGATGTGTGGGATGAATGCATAATAGACTTTTCTAACGCGTTCAGAAGTTGATATGAGATGACAGCGCCGAGTCCGAACGCTGAAGTACCGTCAGACACAATGATTGACATGGACGGACAATAGTTAATAATATTCTTCAGTATGCAAAAACCTACTTCACATCCTTTTGTCTAATTCCAAGTGTTTCTCTTCAGTAGACGAATCATTGTGGACCAGATGTAATGCATCGACGGTAGAAAGGCTGAGTAAAAGCTGATTTATTTTGTTGGATCCAAACTAAGGTTTGGACTGAAGAATAACTCCCTAGGTAGTTTAGATAGATAGATAGATTGCCTAGCTGAAACCAGAAGAAGGTGACTGGGTAAATGACGGCTCTAGATTTCATTATAAATATAAGTTATTATCCAAACAACCATTGACGCTCAATTATCCAATCAAGAATTGTTCAATTGATCAAATGTGAATTACAATAAATAAACTAGTTGACAAAGTTATTCATGAGTTTGTAGGTATCATTACCAAGATTTGATAAAGGATGTAAGAAAATTACCAATCGCAACAAATAAATTTCGTTCTATCCCTTCTGAATAGATCACGTACAGTTTCGTTCGAAAGATAGTATTTAGTTTATTTATAACACAGTGCTTCCTATTCTGGAAGAGTGATTTAATTCACAGTCAAAAATGCACAATTCTAATCATTGTACGCAACACAATCTAGGAAGGAACAGATCAATATGGCTTCCGCCAAGACTAGGTATCAACTAAAACAACATAGATACAATTCAGGAAGAAGCATGAAAACTCAGTGAAAGCATATCAGAAATAAAAACTAAAATAAAATATAAATATTACCATCTCAAATGGAATAAAAAAGACGAACAAAATTTACAACACAAGGGACCAATAGGAGCAAAATAAAAGTGTATACATGGAGAGATTTTCACACACAAGACCTTCACAATAGATCTTACAATTTCAAGAATGACAGTGTAGAATTGTGGTCGACTATGATAATAGTACTGCTCTAATAATAAACCTAATTCTAAAATTGTGGGTTTGTCGTGATATAACTGCCTAATCTATAAGATCTTACGTGGAAGTCACATCATCGTCTACACCAACTCACTGTATCGTAACAATTACCAATACATGATGAAGAACAAGCTTGAGCTAGAAAAAGAACAATATATTTAATATGGATAAAAGATACAAGATAACGTTCCTCAGGGACCATGCCTGCTTGATTGAGCCATGCCATTCGATCAACTCCAATTAATTCAACCCATTGTTCCCGCCTTTTCCATCGTTAGGTATTTTTCCGCGTTAAATATTGAATATCTAGTTTCCGAGGAGTCTCGAGTTCAGCTTTGAGGTTTGTGTGGTTATGGTCCAATGCTACTACAACAGTAAAGCAGAGACGTTGATGAGAGCAGGGGTCAATTGTACAGCTCGAATATTGATATAATGTGGCCGGGGACCAGTGACGTCGAAAATAAATCCCATGTATTTCTCCGGCTTCAAGAAAAATATAAACTTCTGGACGCACTCGGAAACTATTATAACTCGTGTGTAGTAGCTCAACGGCAGTGGCAACAATCAAAATATTATCGAAATGAGTTGCGACCCTCGGGATACCCAATAACATAGTGTCCATTAACTTGCTGGAAAAGTAGAAAGGGCGGTCTCAATTTCAACTGAAACAAACCGCTAGTGAGATCATAGGCCAGTAGTTCTCTAGATTATCCATCCACCATTAGTAAATAGGTATTAACAAGGTTCAGCTTCGCGAAACATTTCCCACCATTTAGCATGGTGTATAAATTTGCGGGAACTGTCAGTTTGATAATGATTTTGTTCAAGGGATGAGTTAAAATCTGTAGAAAAGTCTGCACACATGCTTGCTGTATCATTTACCCTATTGATAAACACAACTGGTGCTGTCCAAGCGGAACAAGAAACAGGGGTGATAAGTATTTGTAGTTGTAGGCGATTTAAATGTTATTAATTCTTGATAATGTTGAATATAACACTGGGCTCTTCGGACAGAAAACTGGTTTAGCACTTGACTTCATCCGAAGGGTTGTTTTCATAGCGGAGAACTGACTCGATAAAACCTGGAGGATGATTCAGAACTGAGTTATTAATTTCATTTCATGTACCTCCGCTTCCGAAGGTTGTCTCACCAGATGTCGTACAGTACTTAGTGAGATGTCAGCTGCGACTGGTCGAACTAATCTAAAACAAGTAAGTTTAAATCAGCTGACGTTACGCAACATGCATCAACAAACGCCGATACTTTGAAGAAAAATCAATAATCTAGTTGTTCCAAAGAACGCGGATAACTGCCTCATGCTATATGAGGCTTTTTTGTGGTCGGCTCCATGCACTGGCTACTCAGGTTGACCCGAAATTTCCGAGCGACTGTAATGATGTTTGATGTAGTATCTTCTTGCAGTCTAGATAATTGTTTGTTTATATTGAGAGTATTAATGTTTATTCCCCCCTGAGGTTGTGTTCTGATAAGAAGGTTAAAGGCTAAACCAGTCGGCGCAATATTTGAGAGCAGGATTACTGATACTTGTGGACCGATGTGGTTGTTGGCTAGTCTTTGTGTCGCCGAAATGAGCTCGAGTAAGACGGCCTGTGTATACGGGGCTCAAGTTTGACAAAGTTGGATGCTTACTAGATATATGCTTGTCGGCGCGCTTTTGAAGGTTGTAACTTTTTTTCACGTGGTATTATTTTATTTTCCTATCAGTTTTTCTCTTTAATTTAACACTTGATAGCGATAAATAATTCGTCACTGATAGGGTTCTATTAACTTTACACCTTATTTGGGAACTCAACGTCATAAATGAATATTGCTAGTTTTCACGCTATCACTATCACCAATTAACTGTAATATATTTACTCTTAAGTAATACTGGGTCTGATCCTACCATAAAACTTTACACGTTCACTAAGTTAAATTACAGCTATCGCCATTCACCTAATTAAACTTTGAATTAACATTACTTCCAATAATGTCCAGGCCATCTAAAAAACATATAATCTCTCCAGATGCCTATAGCACCTGCAAAAGATCTAAATCAGTCACTAAAGCGAATAATGCGAAACCTTATAAACACACTGATCAGTCTGCATCCTACTCTGATCTTCCCTCAGCCACACTAAACGTGCACCCTTTACTTGGACAAGACATATCATTACCTTGCATCTCGCTTGTCGATATAAATAAGAGCAGTCACATGCTGTTAGAGTCGACATCATTTGTCAGTCCCAAAAAGAGC